GGGGGGGAGCCCAGGGAGGCACCAAGGACCACACGTTAAGGTGGTGCTGCCTTCCAGGGTCGTACACGTGCCGGCATAATATAAGGGCCCAAGTGCCCTGGTTCTAGCCATTAAGTTGATACAGGAAATCGAGGTGGTTACTCCAAAGGGGAAAAAGAACCTATGTGGTGGAAACAGAATTACCTTTGATTAAAATCATTCATAGTGCTGGTTCACTTTTCTCCTTGACCCTCAAATTGCAGACTGTCACTCTGTTCTTCCTTTTCTTTTTCCCTTTCTGTCCCTCCCCACCTTCTTTCCCCCCCACCGGCTTGGCTTATCACTGTCGTAGCAAAGGATGTGTTTGGATGCAAGGATATCTTAATCACATACACATCGGAATGAATTAACTTACCTCCATAGGCCCATCCCCTACCCACCTGGGTATGGAGTGCCGGCCCCCTGGCCTCCTGGCCTCTAGCGAGGGCAGGGGCACTCCCAAGATTGCAGGACAGGAGCAGAGTGAAGACGGGAGGGAGCAGAATAAAGTTTTGGGGTTTTTTTTTTGGTTTTTGTTTTGCCAATTTCCTTCCTACTGGGTCTGTGCTGGTGGAACGCATCTCACCCTGGGACGGCCATGGCGCCTGTCAGCGGCCCTCTCTGTTTCTTTCCTCCTTGCCCCTCTGGGACCTGGGGGTAGTAACTGCTTCCAGCCCCGGCTGTTGCATCATCCTTAGTGTCCTTTAACCCTGCCCATACCTCTATAAATAGTCTTCTTTTAAAAACTCAATTACCCAATATGAGTGCAATATCTATTTCCTACTCAGAGCTTGCCAATATGGCTGAAAATAGCCCAGGACCATAGTTAGGGTTGCCAGATTTAGCAAATGAAAATACAGAGTGTCCTTAAATATGAATTTCAGATAAACTATAAGTAATTTTTTGGTTCTAAGTACGTCCCAAATATTGCGTAGGACAAAACTGCGTTTAGTTTAAGTATGTCCCATGCAATACTGGGGACATCATTCTACTAAAGAGTTAATCATTGTTCACCTGCACCTCAAACTAATTGTGAGTCCTGTATTTTATTTGGCAATCCTAAATTAGAAGGCATTGCCGGGTTAATTCTTTTAAAACCAAGTATTTGGCATGACCACTGGCTCAATCATTTCTCTCCCATTAGACTACGGGTGACTGCGGATAGACTTGGGCTTATTCCCTTATGTAGCCCTAGTATCCAGCTTGCCAGGCACGTAGTAGGTGCTCAATAAAAATGAACAGAATGACTAATTCTAAAGTGCCTTCAATTTCCAAATAACAAGGAAGGTACACTTCCACCAAAGTTACTATTTTCCCTGATACAAAGCAGGAAAACAGCACTTTTCCTTTTTTTTTTTTTTTTTTTCCCTATTGCCCAACTCAAGAGGAAAAAAGAAAACAAAAACTCATCTTTCATTGATGTGGAAATGTTAGTAAAATAAGAAGAGCTTTCTTTCCTATTCAGGGGTTTCCACACTTATTTGGAAATATCACCCTATTTTTTTTTTTAACATCTTTATTGTAGTATAATTTCTTGACAATGGTGTGTTAGTCTCTGCTTTATAACAAAGTGAATCAGCTATACATATACATATATCTCCATATCTCCTCCCTCTTGCGTCTCCCTCCCACCCTCCCTATCCCACCCCTCTAGGCGGTCACACAGCACCGATCTCCCTGTGCTATGCGGCTGCTTCCCACTAGCTATCTATTTTACATTTGGTAGTGAATATATAAGTCCATGCCACTCTCTCACTTCATCTGAGCTTACCCTTCCCCCTCCCCATGTCCTCAAGTCCATTCTCTACGTCTGTCTCTTTATTCCTGTCCTGCCCCTAGGTTCTTCATACCCATTTTTTTTTCTTTTTTCTTTTTTTTAGATTCCATATATATATGTGCTAGCATACAGTATTTGTTTTTCTCTTTCTGACTTACTTCACTCTGTATGACAGACTCTGGGTCCAGCCACCTCACTACAAATAACTCAATTTCGTTTCTTTTCATGGCAGAGTAATATTCCATTGTATATATGTGCCACATCTTCTTTATCCATTCATCTGTTGATGGACACTTAGGTTGCTTCCATCTCTGGGCTATTGTAAATAGAGCTGCAATGAACATTTTGGTACATGACTCTTTTTGAATTATGGTTTTCTCAGGGTATATGCCCAGTAGTGGGATTGCTGGGTCATATGGTAGTTCTATTTGTAGTTTTTTAAGGAACCTCCATACTGTTCTCCAGAGTGGCTAGATCTGTTTACATTCCCACCAACAGTGCAAGAGGGTTCCCTTTTCTCCACACCCTCTCCAGCATTTATTGTTTGTAGATTTTTTTTGATGATGGCCATTCTGACTGGTGTGAGGTGATACCTCATTGTAGTTTTGATTTGCATTTCTCTAATGATTAGTGATGTTGAGCATTCTTTCATGGGTTTGTTGGCAATCTGTATGGAAATATCATCCTACTTATTTAACAAAACCTAATATGGTGCTAGGTACTAGGTAATGTTCTAGACATTATAGGTATACATTAGCCCATTTAATCCTGACGTGGTAAGACCTATCCTAAGTCTCTCATCTGAAGTCCTTGGGGCAGATGTGTTTTGGAATTCAGTGCCTATCTGACTTAACTATGAAACATTCATAATACACAGACTAATCAAGGTCTACAAAGTACCATAATCAAACATACTAATCTCTGCAGGAAAATACACAAATAGTCCGATCAGGTAAAATAAATGAAAAGAGCTTCAAGTCCATGCAGGTGAGCTTTTCCTACCAAAGGAATTCAGGTCAGATTTGCCTGGTTCAGTGAAATTTCAAAGAAAATTTCCATTTTTAGAGGTGTCTGAATTGCAGAAATAAGTATAAGGGATCGTGAACCTTTACTGCTGTTATTCTCACTTTCAGATGAAGAAACTCAGGCTCTGAGGGCTTCTGTCACTTGCCCATGATCCCTGTTTTAAGTACTGGGGCTGGAATTCAGACAGCTTTCTGGATTCAGAGCTCAATAACCATGATCCAGTGCTATCCTTAGTTAGAACTTTTAGCTTCCAAATATTAATTTATTTGAAAATAATCAGATTTTCTAAATGGTTGGCTGCAAAGGCATCTAATCTTAATTTATCAGCTGATTAAAGGTACACAGTGCATAAATATTTAACATTCATTTATTCAACGAATACTTAGCTGCCTTCTTTATGTTCATTTAAAGTCTGCTTCAAACAGAGTAATTTATAGAACAGAACACTGTAGTGATCTTGTCAGATTCTTTATTTTGAGGAGTCAAGGTGGTAACTAGGTGCCTGGGGAAGCGTGTGTGTGTGTGATGGGGGGTGGCAAGGGGAGTGATGGGTGGTCTGCTGGATGGCCTTAAGACATAGTACGCCTGGGGGACCCCAAGAGTCTACTGGGGTATCTGCAAGGTCAAAACCATTTTCACAGTAATATTAAGACAGTATTTACTTTTTTCACTTTCATTCTCTCAGTTGTATACAATGCAGTTTTCCAGCTGCTACACAGCGTGTGACGTCGCAACAAACTGAATGTCTTCTGTTAACTCAGACGTCAAAGAAAGCTTCGAAAATGTAAAACAATGTCATTCTTCTAAGTTTTTATTTTGATAAATAGGCCTACTTTTCATAAAAATTTTATTTCTGCTAATATGTAATGAGTGGCTAAGGAATCATAGAGCCACCAGGGGAAATTTAGAGAGTCATCCTCCTAGGGTCCTCCTAGGCTGCTCCAGCACATTTGCCCCTGAATTAGAATTTCTGGGGCAAATGTGCTGGGAATCCGTATTTTTAAATGGTCC